ACATGTGCCAACAGCTTCAGATTTTCTAACTTCTTTGCAATATCATCTACCTCACTGCGAACCTTCGCACTAGCTGAACCAGGCCCACTTCCTGGATTCGGCCTGACTGGTGGACTCGGTTCTACCGGCCTTGTATTTACTGGCTGACTTCTAAACTCTGTTTCCCTTCCTGGCCCAGTATTCTCAGCCCTGCGCTCTGGTGGGACATACACGTTCTGCCGTGGTCTGCTCGAAGGACCCCTCCTTTGATCAAATGACTCTCTGTTCATACTTCCCCACTGATCAACTGGCCCTCTGTCGAACTCGATGGACTCGTAGTAATCCGCAGCCTCTACTGCCTCTTCCAATTCTTGAGGAATCTTCATCTCCACTTTGTACTTTAAGCTTGGCCTCAAACCAGTGATGAACCTATACATTAGCAGGTCATCTGACACTTCATCATCCAGCTTTGCTGCTAAGTACTTCAGCTCCTGCAAAAACGACTTGGCCCGTTCACCATTCCTCTGCACCCTCGTCTCAAACTCCCTCCTGAGATTGAGCTTGAACTAAGCCGTGAAAATCTCTTTACGAGTTTATATCCAAATTCATCAAACGTCCATTCGTCACTGTCCTTGTTAGACTCTAACCACTTGTCTGCTTCTCCCTGCATAAATGCATATGCCATGCCTCTGCACTTTGAACCTACCCATTCGCTCGCCAGCGCAACCTTCTTGAACGTTCGCAGCCATTCCTTGGGATCATTCCTTCCATTGTAAGGTGCAAGTAACCGGCTCAAGACCACCTGGTCCGAACCATTCATTATGTTAGCCATCTTGTCTCTTTTTGAAATACACTGCCCACCGGGCACTAGAACCTAAAGCCCAGCTAAAACCCTTAGCGCACGACTTTCTCCAAGCCTAAAGCTACGTACCACAGCCTTATACTACCTCCGCAATCCTTCTAAATCGCTATCCAGCCTCAACAGGCTACGTACACTCTGCTGAAATCCCTTTGTGCTACCACTGACCAGTCACAATCTAACAATCTGTGCCTCTATCAACAGCCTTGTCTCAAACCACCAAACCACAGCACAATGCTCAATGTAAGTATGACTCTATCACGCTACAACCCTTTATCTACAATGCCTAAGCCCCAAGCCTGCCTCGAGCCCTTTTTACTTAGTCGCAATCAGCCTAATCCAAAGTCTACCGAGCCGCCGCTCACTATCTGCACAAATGCTGCACAACCAGGCCCGCCGAGTCTGCTGTGCAGCACCCAGGGTGCTGGACAGGACCTCCGACCTCGACTCTGACACTTCGTCGCTCGGCCGACTCGCTCGGCACTCTACACGTGGTTAAATGACTTAGCCAAATTCTCGACTCGGCCGCCGACGCGTGCGGTACTTCACCAAAATTTTCGCGGCGACTTCCACACAACCAGTATGAAGCACGTCAGATGTACACTCGTACACCGAAAATCCCGGTAATCCGTACGCTCGGAACGCAAAAGTACACTCACTTTAACTCTACCCAATGATTAGACTGCCAAATCGCCAATGACTTCGCCGTTCTGACACCCCTTAGTCTTATATCAACCCCTTCTAGCGCGATTATACTTCACCAAAATCCCGCAGGCTAGGATCTTATGCCAGGCTAAAAAGCTGAAAATTCACCCCTGACACCAACCAAGAGCGCACCCGCTCAACAATACACCC